CCCTCCAGTGGGTTTTTAGAACTGTAAATCGCACAGGAGGAGATTGTCCGGCTTTCTCCATCAGAGCTGCAAGTGGATCTGAACTGTCTACCTTTGGGTTGGCAGCTTGACTCCTTACCACTAAGTGAAGGGTTTGACACTTCCTTAGAAAGCTGGGAATGGAAAGACTATTTGATCCAGTTATTCCATTACTAGGCATAGCTCCCAAGGAAAAGAGTGGTGACACAAATGAACATAACCCCCTCCATGTTTTTTTGCAGCACTATTTATAATAATAAATATAAACAAAAGCGTTTATTAATGGAGGAATAAAACTTTGGTTCAGTCACATAATATACATCACTAAAAAGGATCTAAAGAGAATTTGTAAAACACTGTACAACAGGAGAAATCTAGAATGAATTATGCTTAGTGATATAAGCCAGTCACAAAAAGACAATTATAAGACCCCTATTACAGAAACCTAAGGAAAGGTTTCCACATGGATAGAATCAATCATGGCGGATTAACAGGATGGAAAGAGAGGAGAGGGGAGTAAAAGCTCATAAATAGGTATGCTAGGTTAAGGAAAAGGCAATATACAAGAAGAGGTTGATTGTTGTTTACTGTAGAGTAGGACTTGACCCATAGTTGACCCTCTGGCAGGTGTTCAGAGGCACTTAATCACACGGGAGGAGATTGCCCAATCTTCTCCCGTGGAGCAGCTGGTGGCCTCGAACTGCCTGCCTTTGAGATTGGAGGGCAGCTCCTTGCCACTAGTCAATGACAAGTAAAATGATAAAACAAAATGTATGTGAAAAAACAGGATTGTTGTTGTTATGTGTTGTTGAGTTAACTACAACTCACTGAGACCCTGTGAACAGCAGATCTGAACCCTGCTCTATCCTGTGTGGTCCTCTTCATCTCTGCCACACTGGAGCCCATTTTTTAAAAAAATTTGTGTGTGTGTGTGTGTGTGTGTGTGTGTGTATGGTCAAATCTGATCTGACTGGTACAGGAGGAGATTGCCACTCCTCCAGCAGAACATCTGGTGGATTCGAACCTTTCACCTCTGGGGTTGCAATGCAGCTTCTTGCCACTAGACCACCAGAGCTCCCCAACTGGAGCCTGTTTTTACAGTCACTGTGCCAATCCATCTCGTTGAGGGTCTTCTGCTTCTTCACTGACCCTCAATTTCCCGAGCATGATGTCCTTTTCCAAGGACTGGCCCCTCCTAAACATGCCCAAGGTATGCACGATGACATTTTGCCATTTTCTCCCACCCCCACCCCAGGAGCACCCTGGTTAGACCCTCTTCAAGATGATTAGTAAACTTTTACTCAAACAAACATGTGCCATTCTATACTTTTCTTTGTTAATCTCACTTCCTCTTCTATTTCCTCTTTCTTTTGCTTGATTTAACTCTTGCTATGTTGCTTTCTTCTGCCCATCACACATTCCTGCAATGATGTCTCCATTGTATCTGCAAAGAACTTCTTTCATTTGATTTGAGAGATATCACAGCACCCAGGACTCTTCTGGGAATGCCTTGAGGCTGAGGCGACATACAGCAACCAGGCCCCCCCCCTTTGGTCTCCAAAACAAAAAGAACCAAAAAGCAGAATAACTGATCACCAGCCTTGGGTGCAGTAAATAATTTCCTTATTCCTTTTTTTAAAAGTAAAGATTCTTAAAAGCACTAGGATCCTAATGTGCTCAGTTCTTTTAATTCTACCTGTGAATCAACTAGAGAATGGAATAAAAGGCATCTCTTGTGGTTTTATAGACAACAGATAATTGAGTTGAGGATCACTTACTAGATTGGGATGAACTAGCATGTGAGGCAAGGATAAGTATGGGAAGAAGGAAGCAAAGGGGAAGAAACGTTTGGGGTGTGAGAAGGTCCAACTAATTTAAATTATGTTGCAATTAGGTGTGGCACTGCCTCTCTGGCAGGACTAAGATTTCTGGAGGGCAGGGGCACATCATGTCCTACTGTCCCCACTCCTCCCTTTCCCACTTGAGATCATGCCAGGCACAGGTTGCCACTTTGGGACTTAATGCCACGTGCAGAGATTTTTTTATAACTACTCTGAATACAAACATATTTCCAAATGTCCAACTCACACCTTTTAAATATCTCACTTCCTTATTGTCTGGTTATTCCTCATGTATTTTTATTGGCCTGAAAAGAAAATTCTCTAATTATGACTCTGCTGTTTTAATTTAGCACTTTGCACAACGAGAAATGTAAACAACTCAACAGGCATATTTTGAATTAAGTCAAATTAAAGAACAAAAAAAAAAAAAAGAAAGAGGATTTTATAGTCCATTGCTCCATTTCAATGATTGAAATTTGCAATTATCCCAGTTAGGAAATATAACGAGTACATAAAATTTGCTCCTGTTTGAGATAAGGAGCTCTTACAATCCTGGACCTCCCTTTTCTCCCACTAATGCAAGTTGCAGCTTCACTCAAGTCTACTGACATTTTGAAAACACTGAAAGAAAGAGGCTAGGTCTACAAGCATTGTGTCAACTCACCTGTTTGTTGGTCTGCTGTATCCATTCAGAATCCTTGTGCTGCTTCACCTCCAGCAAGATCTTCAGGAAACGGAATCTCCAGGTGTCGCTCTCAGGGAACGGAGTAACCTGTTCTCTCCCCTAGTCCACTGTGTGGCTGCCGATTGGCCTTAACCTCAAGCCAGCGCAGGTCTGACAAGCTCTGCTCCCGTTTTCTTTTCTTCTCTTCATACTCCATATTTTTTTCAGACTGTCTTGCTCCATTGTGACTTCACTCTGCTTGGGAGTAAACTTCAGTGCATTTCTCAGCCACCAAACACATCTCAGACTAGATTATGGGGAGCTGTGGTCTGAACACCTTAGAATAATGTCCCTTCTTCTTCCAGAGGCCCTAGAAGCTGTGGTCTCTGTCTTAGATCTTTTATGAGTCAGCTCCCTTTACAGCTCGGAGGAGACTCAACAGGTGGGCCACTCTTCTGTGGATCAATTTAGGCAGTCTGGGATCTTCTCAACTCTGCCTTCTCCAGGTGCACGCAGTTGACGATAGGCAAACTTGGTCTGATGACTGTGAGGACTCCTCCCAGGTTTCTTTCTTGCCTCTCCACATCTTTATTTCTCTCTGTCTCCGTCTCCTTCCAGTTCCCACATTGTGTCTAAATTTTGTCTTGGGATTCTCCTTTGATTAAGGCTTTCATGCTGGCCGAACAGTAGGTAGTAGGAAAGAGTTTGGAGAGTGCTGTTGATGTCAAGTCCATTCTCAGGGTAAAACCTCCCGGGGTAGGGAGAGAGAAGGGGTCGAGAAACCAAACTCAGCACTGCTGCCAAGCATATTGATGAAGACTGAGGAGCAGGAGACCTATGCTGTTCTCTATCGGTGAGCACAGGCCCCACCATTGTCTCCGGTGGCATGAGATAGAAGCTTCTGATTGACTGTTGCTCGTAGCCTCACTTCCATCCACCCTCCGGCACGTCTCAGTGTTGCCTGCTTCAGGACCCACTTGCTTCTCTCCTTTAATTGTCTTAGAGGAAAACAAGGAAATTTTGATTTTATTGTAAGTGTAGAACTTCTTTGTAACGTTGTCTCATATGAATGGCATTATAATTAAGTGGAAGTAATAACCTTGAGGAGTACAAATGAAGGGTTTTTTTTATCTGAGACTCAAGCAGGGCTCCACATCAATACTCTCATGAAAGCTTGATGGAGAGAATGACTCCAATAAGTTGTCAATAAAACTGTAGCCCTGGCTGGCAGCCCAAGCCACAGAAGAGTTTGGGGTGTTGCCACTCAGATGCAGGTGATTCTTGGTGGTACCTATAATTAAGTAACTTTTATGTATTGCAAACTTTGACCACCCCTTCCTCAGGTATTTCAATGCCTGCCTTTACCTACCAAATCAACCACAAATGACTCCAATTTGCTCTGCAAAATATTTTCCTTTGTGCATTTCCTGGTGTATCAATTTCATTTAGAAAATTGGGAAGACCATTAGAAAGTCTAACAGCAAACTTTAAAAATATTTTTTTTAAAATTTTGATGTCAAAACACTTTTTGAAATATGAGGTAAATTTATATAAAGTTATAAAACCAACTCCAAGAGATTTTATACTTACATAGGCCCCTTTGGGTTTTGATGCTATAGAAATCTTCATGGAAAAGTTTGGTAAATACTTTTTTAATTATTTATTGAATGTCTGTATCTAGATAATTTTCCTAGATAGTTTAAATACATCTATACATTTTTCAGCTTCCATTTTCCCCACCATCCTTTCAAAACTGCCCCTTTCTCTGGAATCTTCTCTATTCTCAAACTCAAGTTTTAAAAATTCTCCCCTCTGTAATTCTGCTCAGTGATTTCTAGGGGCGGGGACCTTAAAATATAACTGGCTCTCCCTACTTCTTAGTGATGTCACAAGTCAATCCTTAACTCCCACTTCAAGGCTTCTAAAATTTGGGATTCGGCATCATTGAGCGATTCTTCTCTTGAGCTGATAGAGAGATTCCACTATTGCTAATTAACAAAACTTCTTCCTTGAATCAATCCTGGGCCCGTCTTAGAAATGCCAAGTGGGCCAAGTGAATTTGACTATGGGCCTGTGGGATCATGTGACACCAAAGAATTGTCACTGGAGGGAGTAACACCGAGTTAATGAGGGCAGATATTGGGCCTGGTCTGTGTGGCCTCTTTGAAGGTCTACCACAAAACTCTGATTTCATGGTTGTACTGCTGGAAGAGGAGTCCTGAGTTAGCAAGAAGCCCAAGTAAAGAATTTTATGGGATGAGAGACTCGTCTGAGGAAGGCAAATAACAGACTGAAGGCAAGGCCATTTGAAAACCAGTGAATAAAAAAAAATAAAAGATATTACATACTGTGTCCACACCCCCTGTGGAAGGGGTATAAAGAGTCTTGCGAGGAAGGAGAGCCTCATGCTCTGTGGTTTGGAGAAGCTGGGTTCTGCGTTCAGCCAGGCGCCTTGCTGAAACCACCCTCCTGCCACCATGCCATACACCTGCTGCCTGCCCAACCTGAGCTGCCGCACCAGCTGCTCCTCCCGGCCCTGCGTGCCCCCCAGCTGCCACAGCTGCACCCTTCCCGGGGCCTGCA